AAGTACCGCCTGAATCAAACAACCATCTCCAATTGAAAACCTCTCATTCAGATCTGCACCATCGACACTACCTCCACCCCGTCAGCCTCCAAAGAGAGTTTAAGTGATTCCTATGGTAAAACATAAGATACTACAATAGCCAAACAAGACTCTAAAACAGACAAAAAAAGTAAAAACCAAACTTGCCATAACCAACATCAACCAAAAACCTCAACAACGAATCCGGTAGTGGGCATGAACGATAGGCTACAAGAACCGAATCTGGGATGGGGACAATGACACTGGAAGATTCCCCGCCGATAAAATCCGACCGATTGACCTGGGCCTGCACAGAACTCGTCATAAACTGAAGCCCATCCATCCGCGCAGGCCAAAACACCCCCTCACCCAACACAACCGACAGGGAAGGAGGGGGAGGGGGGAGGCGGCAGGCGGTGGTAGTGGGAGGATGGAGAGAACGGCGTTGTGGAGAGATGTGAGAGAATGGAGAGAAATTGATAGATTTAGGGTTTGGATAGATAAAAATGATAAAAACCTGAAAAGTGTAAAAATAAAGTAAAAACCTGAATTTTTAAAACGTGAAACTAAACACTAGATTTATAATAATTTCCCTCATAGAGATCATGCCAAGGTTATCTTAATGCAAAAGTGGCCAGGTTTTGAAATAAGGCCGTGTAAGAAAATAGCTTTGTAAACAACGAGGATTTATCAAGAAATTGAAGAAATTCTAGCAATGAATTATTTTGTTATGACTGAAATATTTATTATGAGATTAAATAGAATTAGCGTACTATTTAACACAAAAAAAATATAATTATATTATAAAACAGTATTTTAGTTGAATCATATTTTAATTGTATATAAAGTTTATAATCTTTGTTTATTGTAACATTTATGTCGTTATTCAATGCATTCTTCCTTGTATTGATTAGTAAATCTCATCTCTAGTAATGGTTTTTTTTTTGTCCAAAAGGCTCATTAGGAGGACATGAAATAACTTATTTGTCCATCATATTTTTTTAAAATAATAATAAATGCAAAGTCCGATAAAATATTTTTCCTAATTATAAAGCATACGAATAGAACGTTTTGACAAAAATCATGATCAATAACGAGATCTGCTAATTAGTATAGGCCCTATAGGGTTAAAGAAAAGAATTAGTTGGAAAAAAAAAATATGAAAATGAGTGTTACAATGAGCCTCGTATGGCTCTCATCTCTAAAACTCATTTTTTAAATTTATTTTTAATCATATATTCTTTCAATAAAATAATTTTATATATAGAACCTGTTTGAGCTCTATCTTTTTTTTTTATTAAAATGTATTTGGAATAATAAAAAAAAGTGTGGTTAAAAAATCAGATTTTTTTTTGAATTTACGTGTAATATTTTTTTATTGAAAAATGTGTGATTGAAAATAAAAATAAAAAAATGTATTTTGAAAATAATGCACATTCTTCCTATAATCACTTCTCCCAAAATTTATTTCAAAAACATCTCTACGAAATAGAAGTTAAGAGGCACTAAAATATAAAAAATTGGTTTACAACCGATAAAATAGAGCATCAATTCACAAACATACCCTCCAAAACTCACAAATTTACCACCGCTGCCCCTACGAAATCCATGCCCTAATCACCTACACGCAGGACTCACCGTACTGGCTATACCCAGTTCCCGGTCGCCAAAATAACCCCCACAATTAAAAATAAAATAAAATAATGTTAAATAAAATATGACCCTCTCCTTCATAGTATATAACATATACACATTATATTCACACAAAAAGCTGAGTTTGTGTTTGTGTTTGTGTCAATCCCCATAATATAACAGCATAAGAATACACACTGATTCTCCCCCCCTCTCTCTCGTCGCTTATCTCAGAGAGAGAAACAAACTTCACAATTTGAATATTGGAATAAATATATACGTATATGATTTGTATACATACATTATTTTGCGCACAGGTGAAATAATTGCCTCTCTGGCTATTCTTTCATTCGTTGTTCATTCACAGAGGCTACTCGAGGACCTCTCGCGGTAAATCGCGAGCTTTTGTTTTACTTTTTTTGTTCAATATGCTTTTCGTGAAATTCAAGTAATGTGAATCTAGTGTTGTGTTTTTTTTTGTTGAATTGTAGGATTTGATGACATGATAACGTAATTTGAAGGTGATCTGTGTTAGAGGTATGGATTATGGTTAATTGTGCATGTTAGTTAAGTCTTAATCGTGGTTAATTAGATCTGTATCGTGAATGATTTTCGGTTAATTGAGTTTAATATTTTGATTAGATTTTTCATGACAGGATTATAGATTGTCGTTCTTTCATCTCTCAATTGAGTGATTTTTTATGATGATCTGTTGAAATTGAGGGGATTTTAGTAACAATAGTAACGGATTAAGCGTGAAAATATGAAGAGGTCTAGAGATGATGTGCACGAGAGTTCTCAGCTGCGCCCCGTTATCTCCTCTAGGGCTGAACCGTGAGTCTTTTATCTATTTACCTTCTTTCCTGAAATGGAATTTATGCTTTTCCCTCCCAGCTGAGCTTTTTTTTTATATGGTTGTACTATTTTTCAGTTAAAAGAGACTGCTTTAGTATACAATGAGATTAGGTTTACTTAATAATTCTTAAATTTTAGCATTCTTAGAATTTTTCTTATCCTTGAGCATCATGACCAGTATAGTAAATTTTGCGAAGGTTATAATCTGTCACTTATGTTTTTTTTTTTTTTGGCTATTTTTATATGTTTTGGTGTCAACATTCACCATCACGAATCATGCAAAGACAAGTTTTTATGGATTTCACATTTTGGAAATTTGTGTGCGATAATGATCACTTTATGTGTGTATAAAAGGAAAAATAGAAATCGTTCTCTGGTAATTATATAACTAAGATCCTGCAACATATAAACTGAGTCGTTATATTCTGGTTATTAGGATATTTTTCAGTTCTTGAAGTGGATACTTTCCAAGCTCGCATTTTGATTAGTCAATATGTTTATGAATGTATTATTATTGATTCAAAATTCATTTTGCGGCAATCAAGGTCTGGGCAAGGCCAGATGTCAAGTGTTAGTGGTGCACAGAGGCTAACGACGAATGATGCCTTGACATATCTCAAAGCTGTGAAGGATATTTTTCAAGACAAAAGGGACAAATATGATGAATTTCTTGAAGTCATGAAAGATTTCAAGTCACAAAGGTCAAATTTTGCTCTTTTTTTCTTGTTACTAACAGTTTCTGGTACTGAGGTTATTTTTATGATATGAGTGTAGAATTGATACGGCTGGTGTTATAGTGAGAGTCAAGGAATTATTTAAAGGGCATCGAGACTTAATTTTGGGTTTCAATACCTTTTTGCCGAAGGGATATGAAATCACCCTCGCATCGGAGGATGAACCACTTCTGAAAAAGAAGCCGGTAGAGTTCGAAGAAGCAATCAATTTTGTTAACAAAATCAAGGTGCAACTTGAAAAGCATTATGACGTTGCTGAACTTTGCATTCTCCATTTTTTAATGAGAATTTTAGTTCTGAAACAAGTTTTGAATATTTGCAGATTAGATTTCAAGGCCAGGATCATGTGTATAAAACTTTTCTTGACATTTTGAATATGTACAGAAACGAAAGTAAGTCAATAACTGAGGTTTATCAGGAGGTAAGTTTACTATGATTCCAAATGCTAGTCTTTTGTATGAAGTCTCTTCGAGCAGGAGTGATTTTTGACAGTTGTGATGGTTCACATTGTTTGTAGGTCGCCGCTCTTTTTCAGAACCATCCTGACCTTCTTGTGGAGTTCACTCATTTTCTACCTGATACTTCAGGTGCAGCCTCTTTTGATTATGCTCAGCCTGGTAGAAATCACATCCTACACCAGGATGATAGAAACTCTCCAATGACCGTGGCAAGGCTCATGCATGTTGAAAAGGTAGATTTCTCTGTGGTGATTTCCCAATTTCTCGTTTGTTAAAGATTGTTCATAATGTTTTTGCTTGATTCTCCCAGAAGCCTACAGCTTCTCATGCTGATCACGACCTCAATTTCGATCAGACTAATCCAGATCAGTTGAGATGTGCTGAAAAAGAAAAGGAAAGAAGAGAAGGCGGAGAAGAAATAGAGCTCGAACATGGTGATGGTTTTAATCAAAAAAGAAAATCTGGTCACACAGATGATTCTATGGCTGACCAGTTTAATCAAGGTAGGAAACATGCTGAAAAAAGTTGGTGTACACGATCAAATACACCTTCATATGATGATTGATTTGACTTAGAAAGTGGGTACTTGAATGTTATTTGTAAGTTTAAATGGACATCTTAATTCTTTCTTTTTGTTGTTGAAACATGTTATTTAAAGTAAAACAATTTAATTGAGGTTAAATTTATCAAAAATAATTTTGTTATATTTTCCAATTAGTTACAGCGTACTAACCTTTCTGTTCTAAAAAAAGAAAAAAAAAATGTCAAGTACTAATAGAATATGAATCGTCCAATTTCACATACTGTTATAGAATGATAGCTGTCTATGGAACTGTCAGGGATAGTTCTGTTCCGGTAATATGGTATACATGTGCTTAAACTAGTTTGAAGCAAATATTTTTAATCAACAAAATATGTCGGTGCAGGCATACAGGACCCAGTGTCAGCTTTCTGTGAGAAAGTGAAGGAAAGACTACAGAATCCTGATTCTTACGAGAAATTTTTGGATTGCCTGCGCTCCTATGACAGCAAGTTCGTCACAACGGCACAATTTCAGATGCTGGTGACCCTTTTTCGCCTTCCCTTGATCTTTTCTATTGCTTCAACTTATATTATATCATTCTCAAAAATTATACAGGCTTTGTTTGGCCCCATTTTCTAAAACTCATTTTTCACGCATTTCATGGAACCACAACTTTTATCAACTTTTCAATCACACTTTTCATCGATTTTTATCAAAATCTACTTAAAATCTAATTTTTAGCTAATCCAAGGCATAATAACATTGTTCAGATAATGCCTTCATAATCTTATTCTTATGTTCTGATATTTCAATATGTTACTGTGTTCTGAATATTAATATTGTTTCATTACTTTAATCAGTAAAAATACGCATTTAAACCTCCAGGGTAGCACTATCTGTGCTCAAATGTGCACTCTTAATGTAATATTCGGCAGCTACTGGTTAAAATGTATAGTACTCATTTATATGTACTGGTTAGGAACATGTGCATCGACAGTAGTTTTGTAATAACTTCGTCAAATTTTTTCGACACACGCAATTATGAAGAGAAAGTACGAAACAGTTAAATCTTTAAGAGATGGAATATCATACTATGAGCCTACCAATGTGACATGATAAACCAAATCTTTGCATTAAACTATAGCTCTAGTTGGTTTCCCTCATCTTCTTTGCCCTCATTGGCTTTTGGATATCCTTGGGTGCCTAAATTCATCACAAAGTATCAGTATGATTTCAACTGAGCAACCTTTTTTTCTAAAACTTAGTATATTCAATTTGATTTACATATCTTTCGGTACCAGTTGCTTCTGAATTGAATTTTACTGTGGCTTTGTAGTATGTTTACATCACTCTCATCCTAGTCCCTAAAGAGGAAAATTTCTCAAGGAAGTACCTACTCAATTCAACTCAACAAAGCCGAATCCAATACTTATTTGGGGTTGGCTATATCAATGCTCTTCTTGCACCACCCTATGTTACACTTAAATTATGTACATGTTTCTAATAGCCCAACATTTGTCTAATACAACATTGCTCCTATAGCTGTTCCTCTTAATATTACAGGACACATTGATCACGCCGTTAACTACTACCCTTTTAAAGTAGGTACTGATAGAGATGTGGCAAAATTCTGCAGCAGGCTGGTCTCCTATTCCGACATTAGCATTTCATTTTTACCTTGGTATTGAAAACGCGTTCAGTGTAAGCAAAATTTAGAATGTTCTTTTTCCCCAACGAAAACTCTTACAAAGACAAGAACTGTGGCATCGTGGAGCTCATGATATCTATCCTTATGCCCTGCCAAGTGCCAACTTCATTTCTCTAATATTATCAGAAAGTTCATAAAGTTAGAACTTGATGGCATGACTGGAATTGTCAGTATTAATTAGCATTTGTACGTATGCGAAAATTTCATTTTCCAGTACACAGTATTATGTAAGAATTCACAATATATCAATCTTTTCAATTAATGTAAGTATTACCAAGTATCCATTTATGGCTTCACGACCTTTAATATACAGTTATGGCATTCAATCTCATAATGCAAGAAATCCAAGAATTTCAACAAGCAATTGACAAATATGATGACGACTACATGCCTTGGGAGATTATGTATCTGTCGAAAGAGATGAGGACATCATACTTGTGGTATAGCATCGGGTGACCAAGTATGCGATCCTATCTGTGCAGATTTCCCAACAGCACCAATAAGAAGTATATTACAAATATGAGTTATGGCATTCAATCTCATATTGCAAGAAATTAGTGGAACTTTACAATTACACTACTATGGAGGAACCTCATTACTATAGGGAAGTCTACACAAAATAGAAGTTTTCAAGTTCTCAGATTCACACTATTAGTAACCTATTGTGAAAAGAGTATATTTCATAAAGCAGTCTTCCATTTCACCTGTGTCCCAAACTCCTCTTGATGAACTCAATAGAGCTTTGTGCCTTATCATATCCTTTCTTTAAATAAACATTTGAAACTAGCTGGAAGCCATGAAGCAGTTAGTTTAATTTCATTTTACATGCTTGGTAGGTTCACTAATCAGATGGACATTTTTATTCTGGCTAGGTGGCTAGTTTACTTGGAGCACATACAGACCTTATGGAAGAGTTCGAAGAATTTCGAACGTACTTTGAGAAGACTGGTTAGTTGCTTGTTGTTCAGTATTAACTGGTTGTGTGCTCTGGTTTTGCATATTCAGACTCTTGTTTAGGATTTTCCAGCAGAAGGTTTTATTTCCCTTTTTGGAAGTGAATGAAGTATTATAATTTAATCTTCATTTTGGGAACAAGACTTAATTTGTTGTGGTTTGTTGTTGTTGATAGTTTTGTATGTTTATGTTATATGAAAATAAATCTGGAGAAGAGTTACCATGTATGGGTACTATTCAAAATTTGAGCCTCTTCTTGGTTGCTTAAAAACATGGTTATGATGAGAGGAAGAAATTTCACTGATTTTAGCACACTGCAGGATGCCTGCGGAACAATAAACATATCTTCCGATCTCTAAAGGTTGATGAACGAGATGGAGACCGAGATCATGAGAGGGAAGATAGAGAAAAGAATAAACACCGTGACACCAGAGAAAGGGATAGATATGACAGGGGTGTTGCATTTACCAGTAAAGATGTCACAGGACAGAAAATGTCTATCTATACAAGTAAGGATAAGTATTTGGCAAAACCCATTCAAGAACTTGATCTCTCTAACTGTGAGAGCTGCACACCAAGCTATCGACTGCTTCCAAAAAATGTATGTTTACTTTTGTAAGTTCTGATTATCGGAGTTTTCCTGTAAAACATGTTTTTCACTCATTTTGGTGTTTTCCTAAGACAGTATCCAATTCCTTCGGTAAGCAACAGAACGGAAATTGGTAATGAAGTGCTGAATGATGAGTGGGTGTCTGTCACTTCAGGAAGCGAAGATTACTCTTTCAAACACATGCGCAAAAACCAATATGAAGAAAGCTTGTTTCGGTGTGAGGATGATAGGTTAGAACACTCTTGAAGCTTTCACCAGCACGAGTTTTAACCCTTCTCAAATTCATTCTATCTATCCCTCCCTTCTCTCAATTTGTTTTGTACTCTGTTGTTCCCCTTGGTTAACATTTTAAGTTTTTAATACCAGCCTTCTTAGTATTTTGATGCTTATGCAGCTTGGCTGGAATTATATTTTGTGTGCGTGTAATATCAAGCCTTTTTCCCTCCTCTCTTGCAACGTAGATTTATTGGAGTTTTGGTATGTTTCTGTGAATTAAAATTGGCAATTATTTATCTTTTCGTGATCCCAGGTTTGAACTTGACATGTTGTTAGAATCTGCGAATGTAACCACAAAGCATATAGAAGAACTCCTAGACATGTTCAATGATAATCAAATGAATACAGACAGTTCAATTCGCATTGAAGATCATTTAACAGGTATAGGCTGATGAATCCCAGATGACTCTTTGAAGTATTTATTTTAGGTGTCTGATTTTATGCTCATTTCTATGTTTTTCTATTCAGCTCTTGACCTGAGGTGCATTGAACGTTTATATGGTGACCATGGGCTCGATGTCATGGATGTATTGAGGAAGAATGCACCTATGGCCCTGCCAATTATATTAACTCGATTGAAGCAGAAACAAGAAGAGTGGGCAAGGTGTCGCTCTGATTTCAATAAAGTATGGGCTGAAATTTACTCAAAGAACTACCACAAATCACTCGACCATCGTAGCTTCTATTTCAAACAGCAGGATGCAAAGAGCTTGAGCACTAAAGGTAACTTGGGGTGGATATGATACTGATTTGCTACCATTTTATAATGTGCAAGTTGATGTTTTCTCTTCATTTGAGAAGTTTAATTAAATGATTGATATTGATATGCACATAATGGGGGCAGACACGTGTGTCTGTGTAAACAAAAAAAAAAACAGTGTTAACTATCCATATTCATCAGCATCTTATTTAAATTGTCTTAAGTGCATGCTTTTCCGTATATCTTCCTCGCATTCCCCAGTGGGTATCAGCTCCCAGTTTCCCACTGGTTTGAGCGATTCCAGTTTTATTTTTTTCACATTTCTCATTCTCTTCCACATTAGGCATCATCTAATTTGACTACGATCTCCAAATGTTGTCATCAATTCTCTTTACCTGTCTTTATAGCCCTACTGTCTCTTAGAAAAGCATCCCCTTTTCAGTTCTTTTTATAAATAAATTCTCATTTTAACTTATTGCTTGACAAGTTAGTTGGAATTATAAATTGCAGATTTTGGAACCGATTCCCCAAACAGTGATTTCTTCTGTTTTCTTGATTATAGATATAAAATATCTTGATTTAGAAAGTTGGCAGCATTTGTTTTAGGTGAATTATTATGATTTATGCAAATTTTGTATTAATTACAGGTTTTTCTCCATGTACTTAACTATTTGTATTAAAAATCAATATTTTCCGTTGAACTGAATTCATTTTATTTATATTGGTTTAGTGTGCTGCCTGTTTGGGAGTGATTTCATTTAAGGTTTATCTCAGTCCAGAAACCTTATGTTCTCTCTCTTCAAATTGTATAGAAGGGCTTAAAACTGTACTCAATGATATTGACCTTTGTCGGGTTGTGCTTTTAAAATTTTTGTTACTTTTTTTTCCTTGCATTATGCTGCAACCGTATATTTGACATGTTTTCTGTCCATTATAACAACGTGGCTTCTGCTGAAATGCAACTCTTCCTGATTATCTGTGTATACATGGAGCTTTGGTTCAGGTTCTTTAGTGTTCAAATAAAATAAAATCAAAAGATGATAGACGCTGTGAACTCCCGAGATCCTCTCATCACAATCGTGTCTAAATGTATACAGAGGAGCACATACATTTTCTTCTAGCAATTGAAATGTCCCAAGAATCTATTTCTATTTCAGATTGATCCATTAAATGATTCATATTGTCTTTAAGAAGCAGATTTGAACGCATGAAATAATAAAATCCTCATTTGAACAGATGTATCAGAGATTTCATATAAAATTGATTGCTAATAAAAATTTAGAATCTCTGCTAACACTTCTTATTTTGAGGTAGTTGACTTTTAACCTTGTGTGAAAATTGGGGATAGCTCCTTGATTTTTTGTATGTTTGATTAGGAAATTTGTCTGATGCATGTTTGCATTTCTTTTGTTCTTTTTTATTTTTTGAAACTGTTTGAACTTATATGGTCATGGAACACACAATATGGTACTTTGATGCAAGCTGTCAACACAAGATATTAGTTGACTTTTTAAATTTTAAATTTTGTTGCACTTTAAGGTGGTTTTGGAGGCGACATGACTAGATTAAAAATATATAGCATTGAAAATCAAAGTAGCTGAAATCTGAGATCATTCTCAAGATAGACTGTGTGGATACTGCTGAAACATAGCTTTCGTATGTTTTCATTTTATTTTTTTTCTTCCTGCCTTTCTCAAACAAGTAATAAATTTTTATTTACCTCTCTCCATCCAGTGCTGCTGGCTGAGATCAAGGAGATCAGTGAGAAGAATGACAAAGAAGATGAATTGCTTCTATCTATTGGTGCTCATAATAGACAACTTAATAAACCTCACATGGAGTTTGAGTATACTGATCTGGACATCCACGAAGATCTATATCAGCTCATCAAATATTCTTGTAAAGAAGTTTGTACCCCTGAACAGTGTCAAAAAGTCATGAGGATCTGGACAACATTCCTTGAACAAGTGCTTGGTATTCCTCTCCGTACTCAGGGTGCAGAGGACACTGACGATGTTGTGAAGGCTAACAATCATGTTGCCAAAATTGGTGAAAGGGATGGAAGTCCAGATGATGAAGCTGCTTCAGTAAGTTGTAAACCATCAAATGTTCCCAGAACTGAGGGTGAAAACATTCCATCTTCTAGTTCCAGAAGAGCGCCGGTGTCAATCAGTGATAACGGTTTTAAAAGCAATGGTTCTCATGATGATGTTGCTTGTGAGAGTGATATATTATGCAACACGCCCCAATGTGGATTAATGCATACAGCTGACCATGTGATACCAGCTGCAGCTGGGACCAGAAAACAAGCAACTTGCTTAGAGCAAGACACTCCAATTGCTGCTGGAGCAGAGAGTGTCAATAAGGAAAATGCTTCAGATTCACACCGTGGTCTGATTAATATTTTTCTCTTTTCTGTCTTCATATCTAGTTATTCTTTGCTTTCGATCTCCTTTTCCAAATTCTGCAGTTGAAATTCTGATATATATTTTCTGTTTCTAGTTCTTTTTGCTTCTCCTTCAAGGGTTGACCGTGCCAATGAGGGTTGTGGGAAAGAGATGATGCCTAGTGAAGAATCACAGGTATATTTAGAGTTACTGGATATATTGACCGTTGATATTTTCATCGTGTTAATCACCTCTCTCTATGCTTTCAGTTTGCATGTTTATAGTTTTTCATTATCTTTTCCTTGGAAAAATTTGAACTTCCATTTAGGTTTATCGAGTAACATTATTTTCTGTGCCGTTGCATAAATAGATGCCTATGTTTCAAAAGACCAGAAGCTTAATCCTTTATTTGCAAGTTTACTTGCTTAGCCTTGCAGCTTGTACTGTGTTGAAACCCTTTTTTTTTATCTGTATACATGCAAGCTTTTTATAGTTTTTCATTATTTTCTGTGCCGTTGCATAAATAGATGCCTATGTTTCAAAAGACCAGAAGCTTAATCCTCTATTTGCAAGTTTACTTGCTTAGCCTTGCAGCTTGTACTGTGTTGAAACTTTTTTTTTTAATCTGTAAACATGCAAGCTGTTAAATTTAAACTTCATATCGTGTGATTTTTATTTTTAATTCAAAACATAACTTCAGGGGATGGGCAGCAATTATTTTTTTACAAAGAGAATTAGTAATGTCAAGAAGCTAATAGCCCAAACATTGTTTGGCATTCATCTCATGGTGCTGTTTTTAAGGGTGAAAAAGGTATGAGTCACTGGGTACAGAATGCTGAAACTCTGTTACAATGGACATGGGATTTACTACATACACACTCAGAACTCATGCCTAATTGTATGGGATCAGACATTTATGATTAAAACCATTAATATCTATTCCTCTGTTATTACATAGTGAGCTTCATTACAGACCGCGTATGTTGATAGAGTAGGCAGTTTGAAACAGACGTTTGATTTGGGAGTGCTTGTTTATCTTCCCCTTTGAATCAAACAAACTCCTGGTGAGCCTGGAAAAATGAAGGAGAAAAAAAGGAAACGCATCCCTAAAATGGAGAAATATTTTTTTATTTGAAACCCAAAACAGTAACTATCATGGAACATGTTGTTTTTATCTCAATGAATGTAACTTCATCATAACTTCATAGTTGACTTGATTGGTTTCTGTTAGTTCAGATGCCAAAGTTATGTAGATTCATGGATGTTGCCAATTAAATCTGAGGCTGATCTCTTATGAACATTGGGAATTTGAGATTCTGCCTTTGGGCTTATTCTGAACCTGTTCTCCCTCACTTTTCAAAAGCATTTTTGTGATACTCATTTGATGCTTCAGGGTGGTGTCTCTAGAAGACCAACTTCATCTTCAGTTGCAATAGTGCCCAAAGATATCAAAGCTCAGACGTGTCGTGAAGAATCTGAAGCTCGCTGTAAAAGTGAACGAGAAGATGGTGAATTATCTCCCAGTGGAGATCTTGAGGAGAATAATCTTACAACTGTTCTTAATGCTGGCTCTGAACCTATACATACTAATAAATGTGATGTTAGCAAGCAGAGAAATGGAAAAGAAGAAACTTGTTGTGAAGAGACCGGAGGTGGAAACGATGCTGATGCTGATGACGAAGGCGAGGAAAGTGCCGAAGGGTCATCAGACGGTGAGAATGCCTCTGAAAATGGTAATGTTTTAGGAGGTGAATATGCTGATGGAGAAGATTGCTCCCCAGAAGAGCCCGATGAAGATGTGGACCATGATGAGAACAATAACAAGGCGGAGAGTGAAGTCGAGGCAGAAGGCATGGCCGACACCCATGAGACTGAAGGAGTGGTGCCGTTTTCTGGACGATTTCTGCAGACTGTTAAGCCTCTTACAAAGAAAATTCCTCTGTCGGTTGATGGGAAGGAAAAAAATTCTCGTATTTTTTATGGAAATGATTCCTACTATGTGCTTTTCAGGCTTCACCAGGTATAAAATATTATTGAATTATTGGGATTTCATTTAAGAACATTTCCAGGATCATCTTAACAAAAAATATCCTTGACAGATGTTGTACGAAAGAATACAGAAGGCCAAGTTGCACTCTTCGTCTCCTGAAAATAAATGGAGGTTGTTGAATGATGTAAATCCAACAGATACTTATGCTAGGTAGTCTGTCTACACTTTTATGCATGTCTCTGTGTTTTGTCTTAGTATAAATCTTATATAATAAGCACTTTGTATAAACTTGAAGCCCTTGTAATCTGGTACAGATTTAAGGATGCTCTTTACAGTCTGCTTAATGGTTCCTCTGATAACACAAAGTTTGAAGATGACTGTCGAGCTATTATAGGAGCTCACTCATACCTTCTTTTTACATTTGACAAGCTGATTTATAAACTCATTAAACAGGTGAGCTAAGATCCGTGTTTTTCGCAGGTTTGTTTCTGTAATTTCTGCAGCTTGACCTAAAAATTAATTCACACGGTATTTTCTGCAGTTACAAATAATTGCTATCGAAGAGATGGACAACAAACTTCTCCAATTATATGCATATGAAAGATCAAGAAATCCTGAAAAATTTTCTGATGCAGTTTATTGGGAAAATGCACATTTTCTTCTCCATGACGATAGCTTGTATCGAATACAATGTGTAGGTTAACGTTGTTGCTTGCCATTTTTTGTTCGAAATATCAGTAATGTAAATACATTATTTCCACTGCAAAATATGCCTAATACATGATATCTACTCATTCCATTGCAGTTTTCATCTCCAGCGCGTTTATCCATTCAGCTTGTGGACAATGAGCATGATAAACCTGAAGTGACTGCTGTCTCCATGGACCCAAAATTTGCAGCTTATTTGAATAATGACCTCCTCTCAGTTGTTCCTGAGAGGAAGGAGAAACCCGGGGTATTCTTGAAGAGGTATTGTTTAATGGAGAAAATTATTTGATAATTTTGAGTTACCAAGTGATTGATTATGGCTAAAATTTGCAGAAATAAAAGGAAACTTGCATGTGGAGATGAAATATCTGCTACTTGCAAAGCCATGGAAGGACTAATAATCTCTAATGGCCTAGAATGTAAGGTGGCTTGCAATTCACTGAAGGTAATTTGATTCAGTAAGATAGTGTTTAGTACACAATACTGGACACGCATATACCATATTTTAACTGTTTATCGTGCAAGCTAAATTCCTGGAATGTTTTGCTAAATGTCATAGGCTGCTTATGTTTTTGACACTGAAGACTTCTTGTTTCGTACAAGAAAGAGGAGGAAACCTTCACATCCGAATGGTTCGTGCAGCAGAGCTTCCGATGGTGGCAGAGTTAGACGATTTCACAAGTTGCTGTTTAGTTAGTAATAGGCATTTTTCTGCTGCTCAACAAAGATAGGTACTCGTTCAAACTTCTCATGGCACAATTATCTGATGCCATGGCTCAGTTGAACTTGAATAATCATACAGTTTATGTGATGCTCAAGTCTCCCACTGTTTAAAAAACCAACCTTCTGACATTGTGCTTCTGAAGTTCATAGTGGAAAATTGGTTGCGATTGAATTGCAGGTTGAGGAAATAACGAGTAGTCAAATCCGGGAGTAGGTGAACTTTCTGGAACTATTGTGTTTTGTGTTTCTCCAATCCTGTTAAATAAAGGTAACGAAAGGAGATACCGGCACATGAGATTCAGGACAGTTCTTATCCTCAGGTGTGTAGATTTAGTTTAATTTGTAATTTAAAAATATTTGTTCACTTTTCATACACTTTCCTCCTATTGCAGTTCATTTACTCTTTCTATACGTTTTGTATGATGCATTTGGGACATTGTTCTCTTCGCATGGATTCGAGTTTTTTCTGTAGAGAATTGTGACCTACGCTCCAATCTGTTGAATTTTTTAAAAAACCAATAAACCAAAAACCCCGTTTATAAAACACCTGGATAAAATCTAACCAACTGGAAGTTCAGGCAAAATTCAGATGAACCAATCGCGGGTTGACTCAGATGAATATCTTACTATGAAATTATTGGTATAGTTTCTATTCTTATATTAATTAAAATTAACTTTGACTTCCGATTTGACCATAGACGATATTTCTCGAATCAACGACCGATCCAGATTTTAAAAAAATTATTGCAATCAGAGTTGCGAAATGGAGCGGCATAAGCAGAATAGTTAACAAAATTACTGGTGTTCTATCAAATAATAATTGATAACTGAAATGTGCTCAACCATTTCATCCAGTTGAACTGATCTCATAGCACTTTCGCCTCAATCACATTCCCTAAATAGTGAAAAAATGACTAAAATGGGGCTGGCCGGAGACAGATTTACTTGCTACTGTTGTCTGCAATTATCTCCGATAACAAGCCCTGACCAAAAAGGTACAGAAATTGCTGCAAACATGAAAATAGCAATATTAGACTCTTCATACGTAACGAAAATTTGCCCATCTGAGCTTTATTTGTACATTTATACGTGTCTGGTATGGAAGTAAAATTTCTTCATTTTTTAATATTATCTAATATTAATCAGCACACCTTTCCAAATATGTGGTAACTGCATATCTGGCCAAGCTTACAAAATTGGAGTTTTCAAATAAATAACTATATTGGAAGTTAAAATTTGAAATAAGCAAGGTAATCTTACCTTCTGTTTTCAATTATAACCAAAAAAAAAAACATATTCAAACAAGCATGTTTGGAAACAAAAATTTAAATTTTACTGACAAGCTTTCGCCAAATATGCTCCAAATTTTGATGAGGAGAAGACATGCAACGTGGTGAAATGCAAATGAATGAATGTTAACTCGTCTTTTTAAGGTAAAAAGTGGAACGCCTAAATTATCATTTATCACCTGAAGACTATATTTCGAGCTTGTTTGAGTCCCATTATATTCTAAGAATGTCTTTTGAAATAGCAGATTGATGGAGAACGTGTGATTAAAAAATAAAGAAAAATTTTGAATTTATTTATAATATTATTTTATTGAATGGTTGAAAAAAAGAGAAAAAAATGAGGCCTGAATATACTTACACCTTGGGTTTCACAGTATCCAAAGCAATGTATGTGTGGACGTAAGCACAGAAACAAAAATACTTGTATGCACGCGTCTATGCATTTGATTCTTCTACTTTGATCAATACAGTTTAGAGTAGGGCAACCGAGGCACTTTCCTATTAAGGAATCTCGCAGGAGTTCCATGTAAAGAGTCAAATATAATCATGTTTGAAATTAAACTTCCCTCCAAAAAATTTCGTTATCTACGGGTAAGTTTAAGCTATTAGAAGATACACATTCTTTTTCTTTAATTTTTATCTTCAGACGCCCTATCACGTGAATGCATGCTCATTTCCTTGTAAATGCTTGAGAGCGTGTCCAAGAAACTCTCTATTTTGAAAGAGCATATTTTACAATTTAGAAAACAAAAATTTTAAGTACTTCAACTAATTCGCTTATCAGTGGACGGTCCATGACACTGGATGCTTTTACTGCATTGCTCTGCAGTTTTGAGGGTCAATATCAGGTAATTTAGGAACCTGCGATCAACAATAACCCCTCCGTTCTCTACAACTAAAGAAAAGTACAAGCCAGAAAATGTAAAAGATGAGTCCCCAATAATGCTAACAAGAAAGATAAGCTAGAGCATTGATGCTGAGAAGTAGAAACTCATAGGCTATGGTATAATATTGTAGAACAGGTTATGAATCACCATCTTATCATATGTATTACTTGCGTTAAAAGATCAATTGTTCGTCGTCAAAGACGAGCTAAATCTCCTTCATCCTTTGCACAGTCCATCATAATCTCTTTCCAATCTAGACCAGATTCCTAGGCTTCAACCATGCCAGAAAATTGGCTATCCAAGCAGTAGTATCTATAAACCATGTGTTGGATAATTGCCTCAAAAGTCAAAAGTTGGAGGACTCCTATTGCAAATAATAAAAGGTGTTTATTATATAGAAGACTTTTAATTTAAGTTGAGGGCAGAATCCTGTTAGAATTTGATCTCCAAGTTATAGTCGATTTTGGAGTCATTATTTGAGTTTGAATTAAACTCTTCTACTTGGTTATTTGATCCTATAAATAATGGAAGGATTCCATTATTTTGGTACGTGACCTAAGAGAATAATTACAGAAGAAATAGAAGGCAGCTTCAGGCAACAGGAAACAGCTGCTGGGTTCTTACACGTGATTGCATGGTGTATGAAAGAAAGACAGACTGTTGAAAGTGCAAATAAAGACAACTGGTGGCTGCACTATTAAGAAGTCAAAAAGGAAGGCTCCAAGAGGAGGAAAAGGTGACAGCGTACATCAGAAGCTAGGGTCTATTTCTGTAATATTTTGGGATTGGGTTGGTGAGTGAAATTCTATATGATTGTAACAATTTTCATATAGTGAAAAGCTTTGACGGTCCATTTAATTTGTGCGTTATATTATTTATTTTTCTAGTTTGCTAATATTCTCCTGAATAACAAAAGATCCTACGGATTAAGTAGAAAAGGGAAATTGCTGTGAAATTTCCCAACACCATGGACATCCTGATTAGTAACATTTATTGAACGCACCCTTTAGGTATGTCTAATACACTTCACATAAATTTTTTTTAGAAATTACAATTTACATACTTTCAATAGCATTAACAAATAACGTATTCCGTTAGATCTCTAATATAGAAATAGGTAATAATTACAACTGTATTTTGTAATAATAAACAACTGTATTTTGTAAATATGTTCAATTTCTTTTACAGAGACAACAGAATAATTTTAGTATGCAATGAAGGATATTACCTTCACTCCATGTTTTTCCTGAAGTTGTTAAGTGAGCTTATTTGTTCGTCCAGAAAATTGATTACATTTATTGCAGACCAGAGATAATATTGGAGAGCAAAAAATCTCTTATTCAATGATGAAATGAAATGTTTATACAATATAAATATCAAACCAAAAGGAGTGAAAAATAGGCGGGAATTACAGTTAGGTGACAACTAACTAACTAACTTTAACTAACTAGAACTAAACTTTGGCGCCAAACAGCTTGTTGCTTCCAGTGGTTCTGATACTCCCCCTCAAGATGGATGGAGAAGATCAATGACAGCCATCTTGGACAGCAAGGAAAACAAGATAGATGCAGGCAACAGTTTTGTGAAGATATCAACTAGTCGATGATTGGTTCGAACCAGTAAAAGCTTGATAAAACCATCGCTGATTTTATCCCTTACAAAATGGCAATCTGTCTCTATGTGTTTGGTCCTCTCATGGAAAAAGAGATTGGTAGCAATATGAATTGCTGCTTAGTTGTCACAAAATATTAAAGCATGAACCTTGGAACTTATATGAAGATCAAGAAGCAATTGATGTATCCATATCAGTTCACTTGCAATGGAAGCCAACACAAGGTACTCAGCTTCAGCAGATGATCTGGATACCGTACTTTGTTTCTTAACCTTCCAAGACACCATAAAATCAACCCAGTGACAGATTTTCTAGAGTCTAAGCATGACCCGTAGTCTGCATCAGCGAAGGCACGCAATTGCAAGGATAAATCAATAGAAAACAAAAGCCCTTGGCCTGGAATAGCTTTGATGCATTGTAACAAATGATGAACAACTGTTAGATGAGGTTTTCTAGGTTGAGAAACAAACTGACTGAGTTTATGCACCACAAATGTAATATCTAGTCTAGAAATGGTTAGATTGGATAATCTCCCAATTAGTCTCCTATATAAAGAACCATCTTCCAGCAACTCCCCCACAAAGGAGCTCAAACAAACTTTGAGATCCATAGGCAAGGCAGCGGGTTTGCAACAAGAAATCATGTATCCTCAAGTAATTGAAGAGCATAATGCCTTTGAGACAAAACAATACCTCGATGAGATCTAGCAATCTCCAAACCAAGAAAATATTTGAACTTACTTAGGTCCTTTAGCTTAAATTGATTGTGAAGAGTGGATTTCAAAGCATTAATAACTTGTAAGTCTGAGCCAGTGATGACTATATCATCAACATATACAAGCAAAGCAACAAAACTTGTTCCAAAACCCTTAGTGAACAACGAGTAATCAGACTTTGATTGATGAAAACCATGTAGTAAGAGGGCATGAGAGAATTTCGAGAACCATTGTCTTGAGACCTGCTTTAGTCCATAAATGGACTTGTGTAATTTGAAAACCAGACGCTCTCCCTGTTTGCCAGATGAGATAGAAGGGTTATAACCCAATGACAGGTCCATATAGATTTCTTCAAAAAGGTCGCCATGAAGAAAGGCATTATTGACATCCAACTTAATAATGTGCCAATTATTTATAGCTACAACCGCATATAGAAGCTTCACAGTAACCAACTTTGCCACTGGAGATTAAGTTTCCAAGAAGTCAAGCCCTTCTTGTTGAGTATACCCATTGGCCACTAATCGAGCTTTGTATCGATCAACAGTCCCATCAGAGTTATACTTAACCTTGTACACTCACTTGCAGCTTATAGAGTGCTTCCCTTTAGGCAAACTGATAATAGACCAAGTTTTATTGAGTTCCATGGCAGCCAACTCAACAACCATAGCATCCTTCCAATGAGTATGTT